GGAGAGCAAAAGGAATCTGGAGAAGCTTAGGGAAGCAGGTGAAGCTTGATTTGAACGCGCAGACAAAAGATGAGTAGGATGATATTGAGGATGACTCCCACACTTTCTCACAAATATTCCTTTAGTGTTGCCAGAGAAAGACTATTGGTGTCATGAGTCATTAAGCTGATTTACTGTGACTTTTCTTATATAATTATATATACACATAAATTTTTATAAAAATTGATATACATAAATATATGCATATTTTAAGGTATACATACAAATATAGAGATACTGGCTTGGGTAAGTTCATATAACCATATGTCAATCATCTCTATTTTATAGATGAGAAATTCCATAAACCCTTGTATACTGTGAGAATTGATGAAGATATTGGCAGACAATTTTTCATGAGTCTCCTTCATTTCTGCATGTCTTACAAACAGAAGCTGCCTGACCGCCCTTTGTTCTGGACTGTCATTTCAAGGTTGGTAGCAAACAGCCTTGCAAGATATAGTGTCTCCCATCTGGTGAAAAGGGCAGGCATGCTTACTGCCCCTTTTAACAGATTGGGTTCTCTCAGCTCAGGGTTCCTCTCTTGTAACACAACCCACCACACTCCTAGGCATCCATCTGGGTCCCTCTAGGTTGCCCCCAGGAGACTTAGGGGCAAGGGAAACTGACGCAACATGCCATCTCATGCCGCTTGCTGTGCCATGAGTAATGAAGTCCTTTGTCTCTGATCCAGGAATCTCATGTCTTCTGACAGCAGCCATGAAACTGTGGCAGTTAACTTACAAGTAGGGTAAAAAAACTTCAGACCCTTGACACTTTAGACAATAGGAAATTTTTTTCTTTTTTAGATAGGTCAAATTTGTCCTCATCGTTACTGAAAACTAAGGCATCTGCTTTGGCATCTATTGGATTAATATCAAGTAGATCCATCTTAGATCTTGGAGAAACCAAAGAAGACAAAATGCCAGCGTGAGTCTCCCCTGAGTGCTTAGCCAAGGTGCCCAGGCACTAGGTTCAGTAGGGTACAGCCCTTTCTATGTCCTTCCCCTCAAAGTGCTCGTCAGCTAAGGCAAGGGTTGACAAGCGGGCCCATGAGCCAAATCTGGCCCACACCTGTTTTCCTAAATAAAGTTGACTATCCAGGTACTGTCTATGGCTGCTTTTGTGCTATAGCAGCCTTGAGCAGTCGCCATAGAGACTGTACGGCCTGCAAAACCTAAAGTATTTACTATCTGGCCCTTTAAGGAATACATTTACTGACTCCTGATCTAAAAGAAGAGACAGACACATGAAGAATAAAGAATTCCCTCAAACACACTAAAGGCAGAGGTGTGAACAGAACATTATGGGAGCATAGAATAGAAAGCCATAAACACACACCCACATGCACGTGCATGCACACACACATGCACTCACGGACACGTGCACCTCCCCGCCCTTGTGCACACACATCTGTCATCTATATGCACGGTCTTATTTCGCCCTCACAGCAGCTTCATTAGGCATACAGATTGGGGGCATGGCCTCCGGAGACAAGCTAGCTTCAAATTCAAAGCTTTGCCACTTGCCAGCTGAGTAATTTTTGGGTAAGTTACTTAACATCTCTGTGCCTCACTTGCTAACCATGGGTAATGCTACATATACATCATAGGGCTACTGGGAGGATTAAATGAAGTCATAGAAATGCCTCTGACACATAGTAAACAATATGTAAATATTTGTTGTTATTCATCCTCATTTTCCAGAAGAGTAAACTGAGGACCAGAGAGGTTGAATAATTTCCTCAAAGTCACACAGGTAGAAGGAGGTTGATGCAGAGCTTAATATTTGCTCTGGCTCCAAAACCTAGGCTTTTTATCACTGTTATTATACTGCCTCTCAGTAATAAAAGCTTATTGAATTTCTAAGAAAAATCACCACAATAAAATTTCTTTACCTTTTCTGACAATTTTTTTTACTTTTTCAGTTGTTATTTGTGGTTTATTTATTGGCAGATCCTACAGGTACTGTGCCCGTTCTGCAAGAGTCTTATTTGAATTTGCAGTATTAACATTTTCACACCTGAACTTTGATGGCTGTCCTTTGAAGTCAAGTCCACTTTTAATACTAAAATAATTATATTCGTGGCTTTAAAAGCATAAGCCTAAGCAAAGATTTTGCTAGTGGTCTATATAATAACATTCATGTAATTTTAAATAAAGAATAGTACTTTTAAATATAAACTCTAGATAAGTGATTCGATACTATTGTATTGCTCTAAGAATATACCAAAAACAGTGATATTTTAAATATAGTTTTCATAGAGTCATTTTATCCTACCCTTAGTATTCCACTGAGTTAAAAAAAAAGAAACAGAGGCAGCCCTGATGGCCCAGTGGTTAAAGTTTGGCATTCCTACTGCTCCAGTAGCCCAGGTTCAGTTCCTGAGTTGGAACCACATCACCCATCTGTCAGTAGCCATGCTATGGTGGTGGCTCACATAGACGAACTAGAAGGTTTTACTACTAGGATATGCAACCATGCACTGGGGCTTTGGGGAGAAGAAAAAATAAATATCAACAATAAAAAACAAACAACTACTATCAGTATGTGGATTACAGCCTTTCTGTGAATGGTTCTAATGGAAAATTCACCATCTCCTAAACCCAAACCCCTGCATCTTAGCTCCAGATTACCGCCTTTGGCAATGGAGGGCTATGGTGATGTCTTGCTGAGAAACAAGTTACTATTTAAAGAATTCTGTGTCAGTAAAAAGAAAAGGTCAGTATCCATTTGGTTTTACTTATTATTTTGAGCTTCTGGAAAAGTATTTTTCATGGATGACAATGCTGCTTCTTTGACAAGGAAATAATACTTTTGAAACCTGATGTGTACTTATTAAAAGAATCTTCATTGATGATACTTACTCAAAGGCTGAAAGCCTATGAAAAGGATTCTAACTGTCCGTTTCTCCATTTAATTAATAGCTATTTTAAAAAGTTAGATATTAATTTTAATGAAATGGTTTGATTTCCAGAAGAGAAACTGTAGCTTTTGCTTCTGACAAAATAACAAGTTACTTTGTATAAATTGTTTTGAAATCTCACAACAATAGTTGCCAGAGTTCCCACAGTTTTTCAGTGACAGAGTCAGGATTCTAACTCAGACCTCCATGGTTCCAGATATTATCCAATATTTCCTGGGTCTAGTTCTGACCAAATAACATGTTAGTCCAGTCCAAAGCGTGTAATTCCTGAAGGAGATCCTTAGCACTTTCTCCTTCCTCTGGCGTGACTGAGAAGGTCATATATTCCAGAAATGCAGCTACAAAATGGAGAGGCTGCTGTCAGCATGGGTCCTTGAGTACTGTGTGAAGCAGAGACTCCTCTACTGACCTGTGTTTGACATGTAATGTGATAAAAGACTTTTATCTTAAGCTACTGAGATGTGGGGATTGTTTATTATCACTGTATAGATATCCTATTCAAATACAGTTGTCTTTGCCTATTTTCCAAGTGGATTATCTTTTTCTCATTGATTTATAGAAGCTCTTTGTTTATTAAGGATATGAACATTTTGTCTGTTACATATGCTGCAAATTTTTTTCTCCTTGCCTATAATTTTGCTTATATTTTATTTTGCTGAGCAGAAATATTTTTGCTTATGCTGTATTTTTCTGAACAGGAATTTGAAGGCTTTATGTAGCCAAACTTGTCAGATATGTTCTTCTATGGCTTCTAGTTTTTCTGTCATAAATAGACAGTTTCTCCCCTTGCCAAGATTATAATTTTCCCATTGTCATTTACTGAATAGGTTGTTGACTTCCCCACTGGGCAGAAAAGCTACTTTTATCAATACTAAATCCCCACCTATATATATATGGATCTGTGTCTGGACTCTTAATATTTTTCTGCTTTTCTGCCTGTACCATATTAATTTACTCATTATTGTTTTTAAACATATATTCTGATACATCATAGAGACAATTCCTCTTTTCCTATTTCAAAATATGATTGATATTCCTTCTTACAGATAACTTTTACTACTTGTCAAGTTCCAGAAAAGAAAATGTGTTGGGATTCTAATTGAAATTATACTAAATGTATATATTAATATGGAGAGCACTGAAATCTTTATATTGCTGAGTTTTCCATCAAGAAAACTGGTGTGTATCTTCATTTATCCAGATCTCATTAAAATTTTATAGTTTTTTTTGGTGTATTCTTTGTTAAATCTATTTGTAGGTCTTTTATAATTGTGGTTGCTATTGTAAATGTGTTTTCTTTTTATAATAGATTGGCTTATTATTAAATTTTATGGCTTTACACTTACCTGGTAACACAAAATCAACTTCAAAGACTTGTCTGAGAATATAACTTAAACTCATTCCTGTTCAATAATTACCTGGAACTTAGCTGACACAGAGGGTATGCATAATTGTCTCAAAGATGCAAAAAAAAAAAAAGTAGTGTCTACCTAGACCATATCATAGTGGCTCTCTATGGAACTTTTGCCTCATTCCATCTTGATGTCAGGTCACTGGCCTAGGACAACTCTTCCAGAACTTACTAGGGAGTTGTTTTTCAAAGGTGTTATTTTGTATGTTACATTTGTCATCTGTATGAAGCTCCCAAAGAGGAATTCCCTTGGTCTTTGTTCCTCCTGAGAAACTGCTTTGTGCTTTTATCTAGTGGACTCTCTTGTAAACCATGTAACTGATAGCATTTCTCTCTGCGTTGACTACTGTGTTGCTTAGAGTCAAGTTTTCACCCACCTCTAACAAATAGACAGGATTTTCATGGAGGCATTTGAATTCTAAGCTTATTCTTGGCCTTGTTGAACTTTCTTTCCTACAGTTATACCTTTTTTCATTTATTTTTATCTTGCTACATCTTCTACATCTTTGTAATCCACTTTAAATGCTTTCTGGATCAAAACAGACTTGAAAATGCTTAGATGGGTTTATATCGTATAATCCATGCTCTAATTCATGAAATTGCAAGATAAATAATTACCACACCGTCTGATATAAAGAACTTTATTTTGAAATAAAGAATTGTACATTCTTTGAAATTACATACAGAATAATCTTAGCCTTAATTTCTAAAATCAAACTCACTTTTAAAAACCTTCTAGTAAAATGATTACACAAGTAAATTTTAGACTTACAGCCTGACGAGGAAATAAATACTTGATGAGATTCATCATATTACTTGTTTTTATTTCTCTTACCATTTGAAATGCATGTCTCTCCCATTTTGTGCTCAATATCGAAAACGCAATTCCTGAGTAAAGCTTTACTCTATTTCTATATTTCAAAATTTTCTAGAAAAGAAGAATTTTTAAGTGATATAAATTTAAAATAATAGTTTGTGACCCAGCATTAAAATGTGTAGAAGCAAATCAGAATTGTTTTGAATTGAAGGCATATTTCCAAGTCAACACAGACAAGACAAAGACAGTTTATAGAAATCACTTTTAGAAATATTTTTAGTTCAGTGAAGTATATTAAATAGCCTACTTAATCGTAAGTTTTAAGAAATGCGAACAAAAAATTTGTAGAAAGAATTTATAATACTAAAATAGAGCTATAATAATCAAACTATCAATAATCTTACTTTATGAAAGTGGGACAAAGTGACTGAAGACAATAAAAAAACATGGAATTTATTTAACCAAGTGTTCCTGAAGCATTCTGGGTATGAAGAATGACAGTCATGAGGCCATGGTGTTGTCTTGAGAATAGCAGCTGGATGCTTTTCCACATGATTCCCAACAGGCAGAGATGCCCCTTAGGAAATAGTGGGTTGGACTAATTTTGACAATAATAGGCTTTCCATGAGGGACAGTGCCCATAATATGATCTAATCAGACTGAACTCTTCCCAAAAGCCCGGAATCAGAAGCACAACCAAGTTTGATCCAATTCTCCTCATTTCTACACAGAGAGAGCATTTCTAATACTTCTATTTAAAGAAACAAAATCAATTGGTGAACTCCGTAGAAAATGCATATAATGAATTTCTGGCTTGAACCCTTTTTGTGTTCATTTGATGGTTTAAAGAAATCTATACAGATCTGCGTCTCTACTTCTCAACTTCATCAGTCCTCCTGGATGGAACATGAGGTCAACTATGTATACCTCGGGAGGAGGCAGACCCCCAATCGCTCCCTTACGAGATTCATTCATCAGCTTAACTTCATTCCAAGCTCTGCCATACTCCCCGCGAACCAGAGAGCAGCCGATGCCAATTTTATCAGCCAGAGCCTGTGGGAGAAAACACGAGATCAACCAAGAGTGAAGAGGGAGGGGGGTGGAGGAAAATCCTCAGTTGTAAGACCCACCTTGGCTGAAGGTGAAATATACAACTCTTGCGAAGACATGCTTAGAAAGGAGGCTGAAAAAATGCGAAATGTTGTGATAGGAGCCAATAAGATGTGATAAGTTCCCTTGTTCCTCAAGATTCTGTGCACTCAAAATCTCTGTGTAGGCCCTGCTGGGAAGTGACATTTTCCAGGCAGTTACGCTGCATTGTATCAGCACAAGATTGATGATGTCATTGCAGAAAAGCTATTCCGCGGGCTTTCAGCGCTGGTACATCTATCAATCTTCCCCTGTTTCTGGGCTGCTCTTTGGGTGTGATATGCGGTGGGATTGCATAGAGGGATAAGATTGGTGGGGACGTGTCTCTAGCCGGTTTATTCTGTGTGATGGAGATGGGTGATGGGGCGCAAGAGGAGCAGGACCGTGAGTGTCTGTCCTGGTGCTGCCTCCTGCCACCTCCTCAGGGGTTGCTTAGCTTCCTTAGAAGCTGTCTCTTCAATTTGTCCTGATTTTGAGGTTACTAAAAAAGTGCCTTTAAAATAATCTAGAAACTTCTTAGCCATATCATAGTGGATAAGAGAGCTGCCTCAGACTGCCCGGGTTTGAATTTTGGCTCAGCCACATACTAGTTGTTGTCACCTCAAGCAAATGATTCAGCCTCTCTGTGTTTCCCTCTTTTCCTCTGTGAAACCAGGCTAAGAACAGTATACCTACCTTCCTTGTAGGGTGGTTTTAAAGATGAAGAGAATTAATACGTGTCAAGTGCTGACAGCCGTGAATGCTGGCCCAGGGCAAGTACACAACTAATGTTCCTACTACAAGAAGGCAAGGACTGTGTTGTTTTAACAACCCATGTATTTATTTATGAATGTAATTTATCAATTACTTACTATGTAATGACGGTACCAGGTAGTCTTGAGTGGACCAAGATGATTAAGACCTGACTGTCATTTTTAGGGCCTCCTGTTCTATCTAGCCTGAGACTGCCTGGTAAGCAGTCAATTCTAACACAGCAGTATCTGAGCGTATGGCACGCATAGTCTAGTGGGGCAGAGAGACAAAGCTAAACATCTAATTATATGATGTTTTCCAAAGTAATAATTACCGATCTCTTATTCTACATCAAGGCACTTTAAATCATCAAAACAACCTGTGGAATAGATGCTATTGTATTCCACATTTTATAGAGAGTAAAACTGAGGTCAGATACTTTTCCCAACGTCCCAGTAAGTGATGACCTAATGGGAAAGCCAGGGACTCTCAGAGTCTGAGTTCTTAACCTCAGGGTGATACTGCCTCCAACTAAGTTGAATGAGTTTCCATCTGAAAGTCTCTATTTCCTTTGTGAAGCGGGAAACAAGGTCATCTGCTTGGAGGAAGAGGGGGAGATGAAAAGGCTGAGGAAGAAGGGCAGATGTGGGGCACAGCTGCTGAGGAGGAAAAGCCTGAGACTGGAGCTGGAAAAGGGTGACCAGGCAACACGCATGCGCACCCTCATTGGACACCCTGAATCAGCTGGGGCATTCCCCACTGTCATGTTCTGCAGCCTGAGTATCATCATGGAAAGGGGCAGGCCAACTGGATTGGTGCAGGGTGGCTGGTAAGGCAAAGGGGTGGAAGGATGCGGCAAGAAAATGAGGGAAATGAGTGAGCCAATTCTAAGGTCTGTGGACGAATTATCTAGGCTGCTAAACAAGAGCCAAAAACCTGGAAGAAAATGGTGGAGATGAAGAGTATATGTAGGGGGAGTGAACAATTTAGGAGGTGGAAGGATAAGAGGTTCTATCAGTGAGTATTGGTGTTCAGGATTTCAGTGGTGGGCAAGAACTCGTAATTAATTGCATGACTCAGCTGAGGGGTGAGAGTAAGGAATTCATTTTGGCATAATGCTGTGTCCTGGATGTTTGTGTCTTCCCCAAATTCGTATGTTGAAGCCCTAATCCTTAATGTGATGGTAATTCCCAGTGTGGGGTGGGTCCTTAAGGAGTTATTAGGTTTAGATGAGGTCATGAGGGTGGAGCCCTCACTGTGGGATTAATGCCCTTGTAAGAGGAGGAAGGGACCAGAGCGCCCTCTCCCTCCACATGTGAGGCTACAGTAAGAAAGTGGCCACTGTGAACTAGGAAGTGGGCCCTCACCAGACGCTGGCTCTGATGGCACCTCGATCATGGACTTCTCAGCCTCCAGCAGTGTGAGAAGCGTTTATTGTTTAAGCCATTCAGTGTACGGTGTTTTGTTACGGCAGCCCCAGCAGATGAATACAGCATCTATGAGACACTCAAGTGCAGCCGGCTACAGGGTAAACAGATACATAGATCTGGGATCAGGAGAGGTTGGTGGGACAGAGGAAAGGATCTGGAAACCTTAGGCATTTTGGTGGTATTTAACGCCACGTGAGAGGATGACGTCACCATATGAAGTACATAAAGGGAGAAAAGAGAAGAGTCCGGGTCAGAACCTTGAGGCATCCCAACATTTAAGAGAGAGGGGTGGAGGAAAAGAGGTGTCCAAAGGAGACTGAGATGAAGTGGAAAGAGAGGACAAAGTTACTGAATAGAGTGGTGTCAAAGAAAGAGAAGGACCAATGACAAATTCTTTGACATATCAAGTAAGACAGACAATAGATCACTATGCTCCTTACTGAGGGAGTAAAGGCCAGACTGCAGGGAGCTGAGAAGAAAAATGAGGTGTGCCAGAGAGGGACAAGGAACTGAGATCACTCAGAATTTTGACCAGGAATGAGAATTATCTACAGATAGAAGTGGTGTGGTAAGTTTTTTTTTTTTAAAAAAGATTGGCACCTGAGCTAACATCTGTTGCCAATCTTTTCTTTCTTCTTCTTTTTCTTCTCCCCAAAGCCCCCCAGTACATAGTTGTATATTCTAGTTGTGGTTCCTTCTGGTTGTTGCTACGTGGAACGCCACCTTAGCATGGCCTGATGAGCAGTGCTAGGTCCGTGCCCAGGATCCGAACTGGCGGAACCCTGGGCCCCTGAAGCGAACTGCATGAACTTAACCACTCTGCCACAGGGCTGGCCCTACAGTATGGTAAGTCTTGATTCAGATAGGAAAGGGTTCACATTCCAGCTGTATCTCTGGTTGGCCTTGGGTAAATTCCTTCTCTAAGTAACAGTTTTCTTGTCTTTAAAATAAGGGTAGTCATTTCAACTTTTGGCATTTTTGAGACCCTTCACAATTATGTTCAAGTGCCTCATTCATAGCTCAAAATGATGGTGGTCATGGTACTAGGAGCTATAGGAGTATTTGTAGATATTACGAGAAAGATTTATATTTTCTCTTTCAATATTGTAGACTTAAGTTTAGATTTTAAAGGAGAAACAGCTAATAGAGAGAAGGAGATTTGAGACAGGAAAGAAGAATTGATAGAGCAAGAAATCCAGAGAAATAGGAAAGACTGGCACTTGGATTATAAATAGAATTAGCTTGAGACTGGAGGCAAGATATAAGTAGATGCAATGAGATTTATAGGTATCTGGGAGAGGGTAGGAGTTTTATACACTCAAACCATTCTTCCAATTCCTATTCTATTCCAGACATTGGGTATAATGGAACAACAAGAACAAAGAGATAATCTTCTCTCAAACCTGAGCCTTCTCTGGTGTCCGCCATCTTGGTGAATAATGCCATCATTACCAATTGCCCTGACCACAGTCTGAAAATAATTTTACTCTTCTCGTGCAATCATACACCACACGCAGGCGGTCACCAGCTCCTTTCAGTTTCATCTCCTAAATCTCCCTCTAAATTCACCCCCTCTTTCACACGCTCACGACCATGGTTTTAGCATAGGTCACCCATACTTCTTGCTCCATTGACCTTCCAATTGGTCTTCCCATTTCCAGCCTGGCCCCTGCTCTAATTGATTCCTCATTCTGCTGCCTGAACAGTCTCTCAAAACCATGTTACCACTTTCCCCTTAACAATATTCAGTGGCTACCCACAGATTTTAGGATCAAGTGCAAACTCACACAGTGCTTTGTGATCTGGTCTTTTAGCCCCAATCAACCCCTTCTCCTTTCTTCAGACAAGCTACTCTACATTCCTCAAATGGACCATTGACTCTACACCTGTAATTTTGTATAAAATGTTTGCTTGGTTTAGAATACTCTCATCTTCCTTCTTTACCTGCTGAAATCCTATGTAGTCTCTCATACTCAGGCCACGTGCCAATTCCTCCCCAGAAACTTTCCTTGACATCACCTTGGAACCCACAAGTCTGCATGCAGGGACTGTCACCTTGGTAACTATAGATTCCCAGATCCTAGAAGAGGCCCTGGCCTATAGTAGGTGTATGATAAATGCTGAATGAATACGCTTCCAATAGTCTGGTGAATATGTATGTATGTATGTGTGTGTGTATGTATCTATATACACATACATATGTATCTCAAATATAAGTAAATCTAAATGATAGGATTACTAGTGTCTGGTTAAATGTTAGCAACTGGCTCACTCCATTATGATACAGACAAAACATTTTTACCTAATGGCAAATGAGGCAAAATATCTGAAATACCTTGAAAAGCAAGGCTCGATGGTAGAAGGTTCCTTTTTTGATCTGTCCAATTGGTACAACATTAGATTTAAGTTGATATTTTAGTTCACTTATGTGAAGCTCCCAGCCGAAATCGTGGAGTTTCTCTTTCGGAATTTTACCGCCCATTTTTTCTGCCACATACCTGTGTCAATTGCATTGAGATCAAATCAGTCGAGTTTAAGATCTCATTTGGGATGCTTTGAGAGTAACTATATGTATAATTATATGTGTAAAAACTATAATCCTTCTGATTTTTATTGTTTGCTTTACTTTAAAAAATATACTTACTATACGTAAGTTAATGTTACACTTATTGTATTCAAACTATCATATATAAACTGAAATTCTAACAATTTCATTCAACACGAAGAAAGAAATGAATGCTAATTCTCCCAATATCTGTAACAAGATACAAATCAATATCACAGTAAATTTGTATCAGTATGTATGCAGTTTTAACATTTTCTTACTCTTTAAAAGTAGTTTTAAATGTTTCAATCTGAAATCCAAGACATTATACTAACATATGATCCTTCTTTTAAGGAATTTAAACTCAGAGAACACAAACATAGAGGAATTTTCCCATTAGATTCACAAATATCTTCAAGCTTTATAATTATTTTTTCTTAAAATTTTTTTTTTAATTTAGAGAAAGACAGGGTATTTGGCTAACACTGAAGTTAGAGGAGAGAGGAAGAGGTAAAAGGAGCACTAAGTAACAGTTAGGTGGAGAGGCGGGATGCATGTGGTCTACTTTGCCTGTGGGTTTCTCCTAATACTATAGACGTCACTGAAGAAGTCAGTAAACACATCTGCAAAAATCCTCTGTCAACTAAGGCTACTACAATCTTGGAGTATAGGCAGAATTGCAAATTTTAAGGAAACAATTTCCCCTTGCTGTATGTGGAACAAATCGAAGAAGACAATGGTGAAAAACAACAGAGGAGGTTGGGGAGAAAGCCACTGAACTGACCCAGGGTTCCACTAGCCAGGTGTACTGTAAGGAATGCTAGGAACCCAAGGCATCGGCACAAATCTCTGTATCTCTAGCTTGGGGTGGGCTCGGGTTAAACCAACAGTTATTTGGAAATGATGAAAAGTATTTCTGATAGGAACAAAGCATGAGGAAATTTGGCAAATGTTGAAATGAGCTGCATCAGAATTCTGCTGGAGTCATCACTTCTCAAGGACACCAGGGAAACTTCAGTAGCCAAAAATGTTCTCTTCCAGTTTGGCTGACAAGAAGTCAGTGATCTGGCGGCTGTGCTTCTTGCAGTTGTCACATCCAGGTTTGATGACTGCAACTCACTTCTGTTTGGAGTAGATACAGGCACCTATGGAGACCGCAGCTGTTGCACACCCCAGGAGTTCACCTACTGGTTGGTGTCAGTCATGAAGCCTCTCCTCTATTTCTACTGATCTCTAATCCCTTACAGTCACCAAATCAAGTTCTCAGCTTTCTCTTAGTGGAATCACATTAAACGCTCTAATTGAAAAGGCAACTTCCCTGCTTTATATGGCGCGCAGAGCCGGCCCAAACAGCCGTCAATTAGAATATTCACACTTCCGCTTTAGGGCAATGTAATACACAAAAATCAGTCAGACAACATAAAAACAGGGGACGGTTATTTATATGAGAAAATAATTTGTGAGTTTACACTAATTCACACTAAGATTCCTTTAAATTGTGAACACCTCATATACCTAAGGAATAATTTAATTTTCAAACTTTTGACTCATTACTAACTTCTTCAGGATCACGCTGATGGATGAATGGTTTAGCTGGAGAAAACGACATAGGCATTTTTCTTTAAGCAATTTCCAGCTCCTAGCTCTGATTCTTGGTGGAAATATGACCTAAAATAGTAATTGAGAATTTTTTCAATTCATTGTGTTTCTCCTTCAGAGTCAGAGGTAGGGTGCTGTCAAATTCAATTTTATTATGGTGTAGTTATCCGAAAATTGGCTAAAACATGCAGACCACTTAAACCAAAAACTTTTTTTCAGAAAATGAAAATGCATGTGTATATATAGACAACTTACTTTGCAAGAACCTCAATCTGTTCCTTAATATTGGTTATGGGAAGAATTGATTTGGTCACTTCATACACATAAACACAGAAGTCAGAATCAGCTGGAGGGTACCACTCTTTATCATAGTTCCCTTCTCCAGGCAATTTGGGTACTGCCAACACTTCTTCTTCCTCCTTCACTTTTTCCTCTTCTTTTTTTCCTCTGCCTTTCCTTTGAGAGTAAACAATAGCAATCAAAATCACAAAATGAATAAATACTAACTGTGCTCTGAGTTAATCTGAAGCGTATGACAGAAATAGAATATTTTCTACCTCAACAACCACATCACATATAGTTCTCAAATTCTCAATGACGACAATAAAGTTTCATAGTCTCTAATTATGCAGAAGAAATTAATTTTAAAGATAACATTACATGATTGATATATATTATGAAAGTCATGCATCCGTCTTCTGCACAATTGCTTAGCAAGATGTCTGGCATATGGTAGGTGTGTAATAAATATTTACTGAATTGTAAAAAAATAGGTTGCCTCCTCAGGAAGTCTAAGCCAGTCTTATCTCATCTCTTGCTTCAGTTGGGACCTTCTACAAGAAGAATGTGGATCACTATTTTTAAGAAAAATTATCCAAACCATGGAAAAACACAAACAAAATAAGGATGACACAGAATTTCTATGTCATGCAAGGGCAAATACTTAACCAAAGTTTATCTAGGGAAATGCAATTAGTTCTGTACTTAAGAAAAATGAAATGTACTTAGTAAGCAGTAAAGATAGTATTAATTAAAAGTTTCAGACTTAGAGAAGTTACTAGTTAACATGTAAATTTTTATTTAGTAGAGATACAAATTATTTCTATCCAATGGAAAAGATACTCCCAAAGGTTATGGTCTATTGTCCTGTAGGATGTTAACCAGTCTTTTATGCACTCAGCAATCTTTTTCTAACACTTATTAATTAAACTGGATATAAATGCCTAACTCCTCAAATGTTCTTTGAACCAGTATTAATGTCCTACTGGTTCCATTATTAATTAATGAGTTGCACAAAAACAATGACACGGGTTCTCCCTCCAGGTAACATGGAGTCAGCACACTTCACCCTGTCTCTCCTGTTGAACGCAGTCATAAAACCCGGACAGGATGCATGCAACAGCTGTTTAAAGACTCTGAAAAGCAAATAGTAGCAGGAACATCAGAGAAGACCCAGATGTGAATTACTGTTGAATAGATGGTGAGTTTATCTTTTTATTTTCCTCCAGTATTCTCCAAGCTGAACTAAACATAGCCCAAAATCTAGAAGTGGGCATCGGTACAGAAAGAGAGAGAGCTCAAGGAGAAACGCTCTTGAGAAACAGGGAAGACAGAGAATGGAAGAAAGCTCTGTTTTTGTCTTCTGGTTTTTCTTATTTTTCTTTATTCTCTTGTGCCCCAGTTCCTAAGGAATACTCAGACAGTGCTGGCAGTGGTGACATCGGGGTCTCTTAAGAACCCAAAACCACTTTATACTTCTTAGTCTTCCTGGTGTTTTGGCTGTAGATACAAGTGCAGTCATGGCAAGAGTGTATCAGGGCAGGGTAAATCAAGTTTTCTGGCTTAAGGACCAAAAAGGAGACCTCAAAGAACCAGAAAAAACAAGGGAGGTCATGGAGAGTGAGGAGCTCAGGAGAGCAAGCTCATGAAATTGTTTATGAATTCCTAGGCTTCCCCCTGAACTGCACATGCATGGTTCTAACCCTAAACAGCACACCTAAACAGATTTTTGAGGATGGAACTATTGGTTAGCCAACCACCCAAGTCCCCAACTGGACGCTAGCTGGCACATATGCAGGACTGCTCCAAATAGCACTGCAAAGCCTTTGAAAACTGGACTGACAGTGGAATGATGACCCACAGAACAATGGCTAGAATTTGAAGACTGAAACCAGCTGGATCAATTGCCTGCTAAAACACACACACAAAAGGAACATTCTTCTTAGAATGTATCTAAGACCCAAAAATAAGACTTGCTGGACTCATAACATAATATAATATAATTACTCAGCATATGAAGAACGAGGAAAGCTTCAATTCATATGAGAAAAGACAATCAATAGACATCAATGCCAAGATCACACAAATGTAAAATACTTCAATAAGTAAGGTCAAACACTGTTGAAATAAGTAGTTAGAAAGTCTTAGAAAGAAATAGAATATATAAAAATGGAATTTTGGAACCGAAAATTACAATAACCAAAACTTTAAAAAAACCCCACAACTCCATGAATGGGTTTAATAGGAGAATGGAGATAACAGAGGAAAGAATCCATGAACTTGAAGATAGATTTTAAAAATTATCCAATAAGAACAATACAAAGAATGAAAGATTGAAAAAGCATTTGACAGAGTCTTTGGGACTTGTGATGCAATAAAAAAAAAAAATCTAATATTGGTGTCATCAAAGACTTAGAAGAAGAGGAGAAAGGACGCAGTAGAAAAAATATTGAATAAATTAGGGCTGACATGGCTTCCTCAATTTGGTTAAAGACATAAATCTACATAGTCAAGAATTTCAGTGAATGTCAATAAGGTAAACCCAAAGAAATCCACTCCCAGACACATCAAATTCAAATTACTGAAAACTAAAGACAAAGCAGATGACATGATTGTCTATGTAGAAAATCCCAAGGAACCTACCAAGAATACTCCTAGACCTAACAAGTGAGTTCATCAAGGTCTCAAGATATAAGATCCACACTCAAAAATCAATTATGTTTCTATATAGTAACAATGAACATGTGGAAACCAAAAAAACTTTTGGAGCACTTACAATTGCTCCAAGAAAATTAAATCCGTAGGTATAAACTTTACAAAACTTGCACAGGGTCTGTGAGCTAAATATTAAAAAATGCTATTGAAAGCAATCAAAGAAGCCCTAAATAATGAGACATACTGGGTTCATAGATTTAAAGATACAACATATTAAAGATATCAATTCTCCCTAAGATGATCTCTAGGTTTCATGTAACTCCTATCAAAATTCAAGCAAATTTCTTTGTAGACGTAAAAAATCTTATTCTAAAACTTATATGGAAAAGCAAAGGCCCTGGAATAGCTAAATCAATCTTGACAAAGAAGAATAAAGTGGGAAGAAAAACTCTACTCGATATCAAGTTTTACCATATAGTGACAGCAATCCAGACAGAGTACTGGTAGAGGGATAGACAGATTAATGTAACAGAACAGAGAACCCAGAAATAGACTCACACAAATATGCTTAACTGATTTTTGACAAAGGTACAAAAGCAATTCAATAGTAGCAGTACAGCCTTTTCAACAAATGGTGCTGGAGTAATTAGACATGAAGGATCCTTATGGTGATGGGACTGTTCATTATCTTAGTTGTAGTCATAGATACATGAACCTACATGTGTGATAAAATTGTATAGAACTAAATTCATACACACACATCCATAGAAGTAAAACTGGGGAGAACCTGAATAAAATCATTGGATTGTAGGAGTACTACTCAGCCATAGAAAAAGACAAAATCGTGCCACTTACGACAACATGGATGGACCTTGAAGATATGAGGCTAAGTGAAATAAGCCAGACAGAGAAAGACAAACATGTGTGATTTCACTTATGTGTGGAAGATAAACAAACACATGGATAAGCAGAACGGATTAGTGGTTATCAGAGGGGAAGGGGGTGGGAAGAGAGAGAACAGGGTAAAGGGGCATGTGTGTGTGGTGATGGAAAAAAATTAGGCAATCAGTGGTGAACAGGACGCAATCTATTCAGAAACTGATAATAATGTACACCTGAAATTTACATAATGTTATAAGCCAATAAGACCTCAATAAAATAATTTTTAAAAATCATTGGATTGTATCAATCAACATCCTGGTTACGATATTGAAAATGTTTTCATTGGGGGAAACTGGGTAAAGGGTTCATGGGAGGGTTCATATTTCTTACAACACCATGTGAATTATCTCATAAAAATTTCAGTTAAAAAATATATTGGACATGTCTGTGCCATCTATTATTGGACTCCATTCTGTTCATTCATGCCTCTGTCTATCCCTTTACCACCACCATACTATCTTGGTTACTGTAGCTTTATAGTAAGTCATAAAATCAGGTAGAGTAATTCTCTCAACTTTATTCTTCTTTTTCAAAATTATTTTGGCTATTATAATTTATTTACTTTTCCATAAAAGTTTTAGAATCAGCATGTCTATAGCTACAAAAAATCCTGCTGGAATTTTGATAGAATTCTATCAAATCTATAGATCAATTTGGGCAAAACTGACATTTTTACTATGTTGAGTTTTCCAATACACAAACACAGTATATCTCCTCACTTATTTAGTGATTCTTTGATTTCCTTTATGTTTTATAGTTCTCAATATATAAGTCCTATACATGTTTTGTTTCACTCTCATTCTTATTTCACATTTAGTTTTTTAGGACTATTAAAAATGATATTCATGGGGCCAGCCTGGTGGCATAGTGATTAAGTTTGCATGCTGTACTTTGGCAGCCTGGGGTTTGCAGGTTTGGATCCCGGCTGCAGACCTACACACTGCTCATCAAGCCATGCTGTGGTGGCATCCCACATAGGAAATAGAGGCAGATTGGACACATGTTAGCTCAGCGACAATCTTCTTCAAGCAAAAAGAGGAAGATTGGCAACAGATGTTAGCTCAGGGCTAATCTTCCTCACCAAAAAAAAGAAAAATGGTTTTCAAAATTTTTTGGTTTTCAAAAAATTTTTTCTTTTTTTGCTAACATATAGAAATATGATTGATTTTTATGTGTTGGCGTTATATTCTGACATGTTGCTAAACTCACCTATTAGTTCCAGGGTTCCAGGAGGGTTTTTTTTTTTTTTAAGTGGATTCCTTAAGGATTGTCTATTTAGAAAGTCATGTTGTCTGAAAATAGGAACAGTTTTTTCCCCCTCATTTTCCACTCTGTATATATTTTTAAAATTGCCCTATTGCAATGTGTAGGACTTCCAATATGATGTTGAAGAGGAGTGATAAGAACAGTTATCCTTGTCTTGTTCATGATCTTTGCAGCCTTCCACAGTTAAGTACAATGTAATCAGTAGATTTTTTTGTGGATGGCTTTGATCAGGTTGAGGCAATTCCCTTATATTCCTATTTTGCTGACAGTTTTATTTTTTATCATGAATAGAATGTGAATTTTGTCATATGAGTTTTTCTGCATTAATTAATATGATT